AGAATACTGACGACATTGCCCTAATCCCTTGTTTCTCAATCTGGGGTTAAGTTCCCCCAGGTGGATAAACGGAAATTTTACGGCGGGTAGATAAAATTTCTGACTTGGCCAATACCAATTATACTCCTTACTTTGAGGCTGACCTTGATTTGTACATCTGTTTTCCTGACTGGGGACCGAAGTATGATGAACGCTTTTATATATATATATATATATATATATATAATATATATATATATTATATATATATATATATATATATATATATATATATATATAAACACTGGACCAGTAAGCGATTGGCAGTGTCACAACGTATGAGTAACAACCACAAAAAGGAGGAAATGAGACAGTCAGGAAAGGTTAGGTGCGTTCATGTGTTACGTGGGTAGTGCGCTTCTCGATTGCGCAGGCCGAGGAAGAGAGTTGACTTAAGGGACCCCACCCCGCTGCTTTGGTCTTAATGACCTGACCCGCAAGGCGGCGGGGCGGTTCACGCATGTTACTAAATACGCCTTCTTTGTATTCGGTTGTAGTCTACAGAGAAGCCGCTGGCCAGTAAAGTTGATTATCCGTCCTCCGTTAGGTACTCACCTCTGGTTACAGAAGTGTGTGGTCATTGACCTTATAGCCGGTCACATTGGCTTTGACATAGCGCCGTACGAGCTCTTGTGGTATTTGATGGAGAACCAGGTGACCAGCCGAGAATTCCTCACTCTCCGAGACACTGCTGCTGACTGTCCCCGATTGCTTATTCATCTCGCGTGCAAAGCAGACGAGACGTATTCGCAGCTACCTCCACAAGAAAGGCATTCCGCAATCCGCAACCTGGGTACGCGCTTTATGCCGTGCAGCTCCGCCACGGGAAAATGTCGGATGCCTAGATCACCTGTTTACCACCAAGGTAAAGGGCATTTAGCGAAAGTTCACACTTCCATTTGTCCGCTGAGGACATTTGCCAATCGGTGCACCACAATTCCAACGCCAGCAGGTCTATGCGAACGTTTCCTAGAGTATCGCTTTAACACCCGATATCAAAGATGTCTATTGTCTTTATGTCATTTGCAAAGGTCTTTGAGGTCCCAGCTTTTATTTTTTTGTTATATCATTGATGTACATCAGGAAGAGGAAGGGACCCAACACACTATCTTAAATCACACCACTGTTGATCTTCATCATCATCTTCAACAGCAGTACATCAGCCATTTGAACTGATGCTTCGCTGCCATACAACCATGAGGACCTGAAAACCTTAATGCCCTAAGCAAATATTCAGGGTCAAGGCGTCTACACCTTGTGTAGACAACATACCGTCACAAACAGCTGGCTATCGTACAAACATAAGGCGGCATCGGCGAGACAGCTTCCTTGCGGTTTTCACTGCCATGCGTCATTATCAGCTATTACCCCGCAGATAACAGCACCAAACACACTTCAAACAGGAAATCCGATTAGAAGACGGCAGCAGACGCGCCGCTGGTGTCAGTTGCGAACCATGTCCTGTAAAGTCTCGAGCTAAGCACGAGGCGAGTCAGGCGGACTCCAGCCCCGAAGGCGAAACGGACTGACGGCACCCAATTTGGTCGTCAGTGACTTCATTTCCCGCTGCCAAGTCAACTTTTTCTACCTCTAGCCTTGCGCCACCGTATACCTGGCAGACTAAACAAGGCCCTCCTAGGTAAGCGGTGACCAGGCATACGTAGCACGTGCCCGAGCCAACGCAACTTATTCAGTGCTATCTGTTGTTCTAGGGGGCTAGCATGATTATCACCACCTAGTACTCGTCTACGCACATCATTGTTGCGGACACACTGGTGCCATCCGACTCCAGCAATGCTTCGCAGACAACGATGATCAAAGACTTGAAGGCGCCTCAGATCTCCAGACCGAAGGGGCCAAGTCTCACTGACATAGAGCAGAACGGCCCTCACTGTGTCCTTGTATACCCGGCCTTTCAGACGGAGGGTAACTCTCTTCTCTCGCCAAAGATGCCGCAGGTTCAAGAAGGTAGCTGTTGATCTTCAGTGGTGAAGATTTAGTATGCCCTATTTGTACCTCTTGCGTGCGATCAGAGAGGTAAGATTTGAACCATACGTGCAAGGGATCACTCTCGCAATTTGTTAACTTCTCTAAAAAGCTGTTGTGTGCCACTCTGTCAAAGGCCTTCTGCATATCAATAAACAGAATTATGGTCACTTTACCATCTTTAATGGAGCTTGTCAGATTGTTTGCAAAGTCTAGCTGACAACTCTCTGCAAAAACTCATGTTGAGCTGGGTTTATCAAATCCAGTGACACCAAGTGCATAACCGTTTTTTACAATTCTTTTCCTCATTCTCGAAATAATCGGTTGGTAGACCATCAGATCCAGGATGAGGCCGTAGCCGATCAATGTGAACTTGAACGATGTCGCAATCATATTGCACTGTGCTCAGTTTGCCAACAATAGCAGGCAAGCTAAGCTTAAGTGTGCTGCTTGAGGAAGTAAACAGGGTGGAAAAGTGTTCATTCATGACGTTCCCTGTTATGGTGGGGTCTCTGGTCACATGCATCTGTCAAATAGGACAATTCATAATGCCGATTTAGTTTGACTGTCGATTCTGGCCTTCAGCAGCCTGACCTAGGCTTTGGAGTTATTGTTATGCGCCAGTGCTCGTGTTTCCCCTGCTAGTAGAATTGTGGCACGAATCGACTGCAACTGTTTAAAGAGGTTATCCTGTCTGATAAGCAAGGAGAAGTTGCGAGTCTCTCTTATTTTTGAGCGTTGTATTTTCAGCTTACGCAGAAGGTGTGCTTCGCGCCCAGTTTTGGTGGGAACCTTCCTATTGGATCTCAGTACGAATGCAGCAAGAATGTGAAGATAGTTTCGTCTGCCGCAACCTGTGGATCTCCGATGAGAAAGGAAAGATCCCAGTTTTTTCGCAGCAGTATAGCAAATGTATCCTATTTGACAATTCTAAATTCCCTACAGGGTCCTGCTTGTATTCTTTTGTTACATTGTGGGGCCGGATCCAATGCCCGCAAAACTGCGGTACACGACTTTGTCACTATCTGGGAAACGAGGTAACACATCAACACATGGGAGTGAGACTTGGCCCCTTCGGTCCGAAGATTTGAGACGCCTTTTGTCTTCGATTATCGTTGTCTGCAGAGCATCGCTGGTGTCGGGCAGCACTAGTGTGGTTACAACTATGATGTGTGTAGGCGAGTACTAGGCAGTGATAAGCCAGTACCTTAAAACAATAGATAGCATTGAATAAGTTGCATTGTCTTGCACACGCACTACGTATGCCTGCTAATCGCTTTCCTAGGAGGACTTTGTTTAGTCTACCAGATGTAGGGTGGCGCAAGGCTCGAGGTGGAAAAAGTTGTCTTGTCAGCTTGAATGAAGTTACTGACGACCAAATTTTGTGCCGTCGGTCGTCTCGCCTTCCAGGCTGGATTCCATGTGACACACCTTGTGCTTGACTGGAGACTTTACAGAACATGGCTCGCAGTCGGCACCAGTGACGCGTCTGCTGCCGTCTCTTAGTTGGACTGCCTGTTTAACGTGTGTTTTGTGCTGAGTTATCTACGGGGTAACTGCTGATTACGACGCGAGGTAGTAAAAGCCGCATGGAAGCTGTCTCGCTGATGCTGCCTTATCTTTGCATGATAGCCAGCTGGTTGTGACGGTATATAGTTAACACAGGGTGTAGGCGCCTTGACGATGAATGTTTGTTTAGGGCATGAAGGTTTTTCGGTAAGTCCCCCTTCTCCCCATCTTATTATTAGTTATTCCATAGATCATCATGGTTGTATGGCAGCGAAGCATCAGTTCCAACGGCTGATGTACTGCCGTTGTTGTTGTTGTTGATGATGATGATGAGGATGACATCGACACATATTGGATGTATGTCTTGGGAAAAGACGAGGTCTAATGTCTTGTTCTCCCTGGTAGGTTTATGAACCACTTGGGTTCATCCTTGGACCCGGACTACGGAAACGACGTTTCACGGTCTTGGTGGTGCTGTATACTCTATTCCTAAGATATGTGATATATTAACGCACTCCCGAATATTTTTTTAACTGAAGCGCAGTTCAGACACATTCAAAAGCGAGAGTGGGGTGTTCTAAGAGTAAGAGTGGATTGTGAATTCATACAACTAAAAGCAGTGAGCAATTCATTTCTACGGAGATCCACACGGATTCATTTATGATACTGCGTCGCGGGTCTACTATTAATTAATCATGTAGCGGGTGCGCGCTACTGAGGAGTCCTAATAGGACGAAACTGTCGTCCAGCCCTTTCCTGGATGTGTGGTGGCTGTCTGCCTGTGTCTAACTGCGACGAACCTACACAAAAACCTAATAAATCCCCCTGCTACTTACAAATATATATACATATATATATATGCTTCACCGGTAAGCTGATATCCATCCGTCTCCATAGATGCGTAAGCCTCTGGAAAAACACACTGGCCTTGCTGCTACGCGAATTCACATTAGACAGCACGGAAAATTCTGAATGAAGCGAATCATTCTTACTCATTTCGATAACGAAGATTCGGAAAAAAGGAGTCATTGGACAACCTTGCTGACCCCACATTTTGTGGGGAACTTGGGAGACAACTTCCCGAAGACCCTTACCTGACTGCGGGACTCACTGTAAAGACCACATAAGTGAACTTTGTTTTCCAGGCACGTCTTACATGCATAGACATTGCCACATTCTGGCGCGATCATCAGAGTCGAAAGCGGCTTTCAAGTCGAGGAATACAACCATATTCGGTCGTCTGTAAGTGTGTTCGCTTTAATGTATGTGGTCAGGGCAAGTATAATCCATAAATTCTGTCTCAGTAGCTTTTAAACTCAAGTTATCCATATTCTTACCTCGACCATTCCTGTTAATTGGGCCCTTGTAAATTTGGACATCTTAGTTCGGTTCTAAGCCCTGTTTGGAGTCCTACCTGCATCCGAATATGTTGCCAGTTTACTTTTCTATCTTCTCTCTACGTACAGGTGAAAAGCAGATCCTAGTTGAAAAGCTTGCCTCTGCTGATGGTATGATACAGACACTTCGCAAGGAGTTACAGGATCGAGAAGAATCTCTTGCCAAGCTCCGCCATCAATTGTCGGAAAGCGAGGTTTCAAAGGAAAAGGTACAAAGCACTTTCATCATCACCATCATACACGTTAGCTGAGAGTGCGAAACACGCCTCAGCTGATGTGCCACAATAAACTTACACCACAAAAAGTTCAAAAAGCAAGTATATGTTAAATATCATATTATGCATTTCGTATGATATCGTAGTTAGATGGGAATCCGAAGGAAAAAGAGTTGGACAAATAAACTTGTAACGCAAACGTCATTAGGACCGGCCTTTCGTCATGTCAACAAACGTTTCCAACCACATGTGTTCATCGTCCTTGGGACCCCAACCAGGCAGTCGGGACACACCAACCGACGCCTACCTCGATATGAGGGTTTTCATTCCTCTTGACCAACTCATCGCTTGGCCTCCCATCTTCGTCTTCCAACCCCACGTCGTGGGAGTCGGTATGCTGGCATGCGCAACACGCTTAGCCATCGGAGCCTGTTGCGTGATATAATGGTGCTGAGCGGTTCACTCGCTCTTTCTGTATCAAATAGACGACACCGAACATATTCATTGCTGTCTCGGTCTTCCCACAAGACATTAGCTAAGCTGCGAAGGCAGCGATGATCGAACGTGACTAGCCTCTTTGTGTCTGTCGACTTGGTCGGTCAGGTTTTGCAACCATACAGTAGGGCTGAACGGACAGCTGCGTTGCAAACACTGCCCTTCAGGGCGAGAGTGATGTCGCATCGGCCCTACAGATGGCGGAGATTGACAAAACACCTCGAATTTTTGCTATACGATTCGCTACCTAATCTACCGTTTCACTGGCGATAATATAGCTGCCCAAATACTTGAATTCCTGAACGACTTCTAACTGAACATTAGCAAGAGTCAGCGCAGGGTAGGGTCCATGCCAACGTGAGCAATACAATTGTTAGCCAATGTAAATCTGTCCCATGCTGCTTGGCACGGTTGGGCGCTGTCACATATGAGCGCAATGTTGTCAGCATTCTCCAAGTAAAGAGGTCGCTCACCACGAAGCACCTCTGCACCTTCTAAATCTTGTCAAGCGAACTCTGTTTCCATGACTTCGTCAATGGCGAAGTTGAAAGGTGACAGCGGGCAACCTTGTCTCACACCGCTGAAGCTATTGAATGGCAGCGACAGTTTGCCATAAACCCTCACTCTGCCCAAACTATGTGCGTACAGCGCTCTGATAATGTTTACGTAATTTTCGGGCACAACTTTCCTCAGCAGACAGTCTCAAAGGGCAAATGATCCACCGAATCGAAGGCACCTTTAAGGTTGAAAAACACGACTACGGTGAGTCGCCAATGAACATGGCGGTGATCCAACAACTGACGTAAAGTAATGAGGTGGTCAACGCAGCCTCGATTTTGACGAGGTCCGGCTTGCTCTTCGCGAATCCGACGTTCAAGTGTGCCAGTCAGTCTGTGGAGAACGACAGACACGAGCAATTTAGAGTCACCTGAGATCACACTGATCCCTCTATGATTTCTGCATTCCGAAAAGGAGCCTCCCTTGAAACTTGGGATCATGACGGAGCGGCTGCAGTCTGACGGGACAATTTCCGGATGCCATAGGTTTAGTAATAACATATGTAACCAGTCCAAAACGGTAGGACCCCGAATTTGAAGAGGGCTAAATGAAGTCCAGCTGCCCCAGCGGTTTTGTTTGATTTCAGACGTCTGATCTCATGTTCGATCTCTGCACGTGAGGGCGGATCTACAAGGTCGGACCAAGGAGTAGAGCGCTTATTTGCCGATGGATAAGTTGAAAATGCTGACTGATCAAACTGCTTCTCATACTGTTCGGCCCAACGCTCCAAACCGGTTGACAAACTGTGGATCGACTGTTCACTTTTCGCATATGAGTTCGCAATACCGCGTCGCCTGCTGACCGTTTCTCGTATTAGACGGAATAACTTCGATCTAAGATATGCGCCTCCGTCGTTCCTCATAGACTTGATGGCACACGTAGAAGGCCAGATTCGCGAACAGCAAGCCGGGTTTCATCACAGTCGCGACTGTATTGATCACATATTCACACACACTGAACCAGCCCGCCAGTCTCATGGCGCACGTCCAGTTGTTGACTGGGATCCAATCGGTCAGAACAGCTTCAGCCCACGTACTCAGAGCAATACCCAAAACGGAATGACCTGCATTTACTACTGCGACACCGCACAAAGCTATTGAAAAACTGCAGTCAGTGTCACATTTGCAGACTCACGTTGCAAGCACAGAAGTCGGATCCTGGGTGCGGGTTTCCAGTAAACAGCAGATATTAATTCATAGGATCTCTAATGTTTAGACAAGTGATGCATGTTGGCCAGTCTTTAGTAAGTTGCGCTCGTTGTGGCATGCCAGGTTTCACTACGATCCGGGGCTCCGGATAAAAATATATATACTGACATTACTAATTTGGACATGAACTTGTCGGTTGCACCAGAGTTACGCCCTGCGATTGTGTGTGGTGAAACTAAAAGGTACGACTGTCGAGTGAAGTTGTAGAGGGGCAAAGAATTAGGGGTTCAAAATGGGGATAAAAGTGAAGTTGGGGCGGACGATAAGGATGAAAATGCGCAGGGAGGGTATTAAGAAGACGGGAAAGCCTGAGCAATAGTATCCTTACTGCCATCCACGCCGGCCCGTAGTCACAAGGATCACAAGCCTGCGTTGTAATTCGAGTGCGCGAGTTCGAGCCTGCGTAGGGACCGGGCGACGCTCGCGGTATCCTATACCCACGTGCGGCTCGTGGCGGTTTCTCGGCAGCGAAGCGTCGGTGCCTCGTACCGGCATACTGCTGATGCCCTGTCTCGCCTGCCCCTGCTGCTGGACGCAGCAGATAGACCGCCGTTGATTATCCTCTGCGACGGCCAGATCATTAAGGACTATTTTGAAGAGAAATTCCTTGTTCGTGTTTACAAGGTACTGTCAGGTTGCCCAAGCATAGACGAGAGAGTGGCTAGGGTGTAATAACCTGACCGCATGGCAGTGGGGTTTTACCACTGGGCTACCGAGGGTCATCTTACGGAATAAGTGGCCACCCTCACTCCAACCCCCAATCTGGATGGCCAGGAGACTGCGTTTGTCAGACCTCGAACCGTTGACCAATCTGGTATTGGTGGCTCTTAACGTGCAAAAAGCACCGCTCATCAAAGCTCATAAAACTATTGAGGCACGCAAACTATCGCACCACTCTAAGGTCCCGTCTCGTCTCGATGGACCAAGCACTTTCTGGTTCCATTGTGTTAATCAGCCGCGTTCCGTGCATGGAGTTGATACAGATTCGCTTTCTTTTGTCTCAATTCGCAACTAGAGTACTATTTGAAAACTCGTAAATAAAAGCCGCAGAGCCCTTACACCTAGAAGAGCTAGAAGGAGGCAGCAACAGCATGATGGTGCACCGCATTGATGATTCACCACTACGCGACTACCACCAGTCGTACACGGCTTGAGGATTGTGTGAATACGCGTCAATATGCGTAGCTTAGATGCTGTGTCCTTTGAATTGCACATCAGACGTTTCCTCCTTTCGGTCACCGGCCGACTAAATGAGTTGGAAGCAAACCCAAATCTTACAAGGCACTTTGAGTGCCTCTCGGACTTCGCGTCCGCGCCGTAACCGAAGCAATTACTGCTCATTGCCCCGTGACCGATTTCAGACACACCATCCAAACCCATCAACCCTACTCAGTTTAGTCTTGTTTGTTTTCACAGTATCCTCTACCGACTGTCTCTGAGTAGTGCCAGATCTGGTGCACTGTTGGCAGATAGCACATGCAGGTATCACTGGTTGCGTGCATTTGAGGGATTTTAACAGGCAATCGCAAGCGATTCGAGTTTAATAAATGCTGTAGTGCCGCGCTAGGGGCTTGTTATCGACCATCAACTGTGGCACTCCAATAGTATCTCTTTAGCACTACCTCCTTGCATGTCCTATACGTCACTGACATGTATCTTTTTTGGAATCCCTAGCGAAGCTGGCATATTTGGTCAATTAGGTCCGCTTTTCTAATTTGCTATGTTGTCACATCGTCAGAGATAATTCGTGCGGTTCCTGCTTTATTCCAGCCGAACGGAACCCCTAATCCTTCAGGTCATACGTCGCAACGAGACTGAATCTTAACTTGATGTGACGGTTTGCATACCTTTTTGGCCCATTGTGTTATACTCGGTAGTGCCCCCGAACCCTACCAGGTTACTCAATAGTCTGAGATCTGAAAAATTCAATCTCCTAGTCTTCCAGATTTGGGGGTTTGAAATAGGATGGCGTCCATTTCTGTAAAACTAATTCATTACCACCTCCTCGTTGCCTTGCGGACAGACTTTTGAGCCAAAGATTTTGCTTGAAGATCCTAATCGTCCACCTGTCTAGATTTGGACGCCCTGACAGTATCTTAGTCCATACAACCATGACAGTTTCCTCTAAATGCAACTACATTTTACATCGGCCGTCGCGTAGCTTCTCAAGGGTTGTCTTACCTGCTGCATACAGCAGGGCGGACAAGCGAAAATATGCTACTGATGTCACCTCCCTTCTTTCTTTTTCACCTCATACTCCTCTCTTAACCCCCATTACTAACCTACCTTCCATACTTCCCAGCTTAATTGACAGCAGCCATAATATCACTGGAGTCGAACCATCTGCAGCTACCTTTCCGCACCACCATCTGGAGGCCTATCGGTTACATTCTCTTATAAGGCCACGTTGTCCCGTTTCTCTGGCGGCATTCAACGTTCGCAGTCTAAGACAAGTAGGTCAGCAGGCTGCCCTCGTACACACGTTGGACACAGTGGGTAGTGACGTGTGTTATGTGTCCGAAACTACGATCAATGACCCTAATGGGGTTTTTGAATTAACTGCATCCGGTTTATCGTCTCGCTGTGGATTGCACGCACCCGGAGACGCTGACCGAGCAGCCTCGGGTCAAGCTGTGTCAGGTATCGTACTCAGCTTTTAAGCTGGGTCATCGTTGGTTGACTGGATTCCGGTGGACAGTTGTTTGTGTGCAACACGTTTAACAACATCGACCA